CTTTGTCCTGGGGCTGGCAGGTGGCATGGTGATTAAGGGTGCTAGATTACCAAGTGGGCAACCATGGTTTGAGTCCTGGGCCTGGCAGCTTGCTTTCTCTTTCTCCCCTCTGCCCCACCCCCAACCCCTGTCAAATTTAAATTTAAATAAAGTTAAATAAAATAATTCTTTTTAAAAAAAGAATACCTTATACTTATCACTGGTATAGGCCTGCCTTGCTACTCCCTTTCTCAGGTAGGAGGTGGAGCTAGGTAGAAAAGTTTCATTGTAGGCTGTCTCCTTGACAAATACACTTTTTTTTTTGTTTTTATTTGGTTTGTTTTTGTTTTTAAGTAGCTGATGCACTTAATTAGTTAAGGGAATTTCCCTCAAAAGGCATTAAATTATGGCCTAGCCACAGTAACACAACCCAATGTGCAAGGCTGGGGCCACATGGCAGGCCTGGGTTCTGTTCCCTGGCTGACCTAAACAGGCTGAATATGGGGCACACTCCTGCAATCCTAGCTAACTGGAAAGTGTGGGCAGGTGGACTGTGGCATGGCAAGACCCTGTCAAAATATCTCTCTGTCCCTCTCTCTTTCATGAAAAAAAAAAAAATTAAAAGCATTTAAGTCCAGCCTGTTGCATTAAAGTGAATGGATCCCATATGCCCTACTGCAAGGTTCAAGTCCTGGACCCAGAAGTTTAAAAGGCACACTGGACACACATGCCCCAAATCCCAAGATGAGGAGTAAGGGATTGTGGCATAATCATTCCCCATGGGAGTGTGGGTGCTTTCTCATTCCCCACTCCTACAATTTTTCTCCAGCAAGTGCATGTGCCCACTGGCAACAATTTTTAAAAAGATATTTTAATGAGAACCTAAAATGTTCAAAAGCATATAAATATATAGTGAATAAGATTTAATCACTAAATAAAGGTTGCTCATAAAGAGGGTGGTATTGGCATTATATACACACACACACACACACACACACAGACACGTTATAAAGTGTACATTTTATAATAAGTGGGTAAGATACGATCTAAGAATTTTTAAAAACTTTATTTATTTTTATTAACATCCTGTGCACATTGGTGGTTGTACAAAGTGATTTAGAACAAAAATGCAGTGTGTAATGATTAAATCAGACTAGTATCCTATTATCTCAACCATTTGTCATCACTTTGTATTGGAAACATCCTCTTTTTTAGCTACTCTGAGATATTCATTAAGTTGTTAACCGCATTCTCCCTACTACATTTCTGCTATATTTTATATAGCATTGGATTTTTTTTGCTCTTATTAATCTGTAATTTTATATTCATTAGGCAACATCCTTCTGTCCCCTTCCCATCCTTTCCAGTCTCTATTGTTATTCTTCACTTCTCTTTTTCTACAAGGTCATATTCCCCTCCCCCCACCCCAGTTTCCACATTTGAGGGAGAACATATATTTCTCTTTCTATGCTTGGCTTATTTCATGTAACATAATGTCTTCCAGGCTCAGCCTTTTAAATAACCAGATTGCATCCTTTTTAATGGACGCATAGTATTCCTCTACAAACACACATCACATTTTCATTATATTTTCATCTGTTGATGACACTCTGGTTGATTATGTATCTTTACTATTGTCGACAGTGCTGTAATAAACATTGTGATGCAGGCCGGTATCTTTACAACATACAAATTTCCTTTCCTTTGGATATATACCCTGTAGTGAGATAACTGGGCCATACAGCAGTTCTATTTTTGTTTTTCCAAGGCACCTCCATATTGTTTTCCATAATATTAGCCGTGCTCATTTACAGTCCCACCCACAGTGTAAAAGAGTGCCCCTCTTTTTCTGCATTCTTGCCAACATTCATTATTTTTTGTCTTGTTAATAATAGACATTTTAACTGGGCTGAGATAATGTCTCATTATGGTTTAAACTTGCAGTTCCCTAATAATTAGTAATGTTGACCATATTTTCATGTGTTTTCTGGCTGTTTGTATATCTATGGTTTTTTTTTTTTTTCTTTTTGAGGGGGAGAGGTTTTTGCTATAGGGCTCATGCACTCGCCAAAAAGACAGAGAGAGATAGAGACACAGAAAGCGAGAAATCACCCCCCGCCCCGGGGGGAATGGTCACGCTGCAATCCCTTCTCCTCCATTCTCCCCTTGGGATCTTGGGCACACACGCACATGCGCCCAGCATGAGTTTTAAGCCACCAGGTCCAGAACACAAACCGCGGTCGACTACATGGGAGTCCAGTGACATAGCCATTATGCTAACTGCTGGTCCCTGTTTGTATATCTATGTTTGAGAACTATTTATTCAGGTCATTTGCCTATTTTTAAAATTGGGTTATTTGGGTTTTGGGTTGCTGGGTTGTTTGTGTTCCTTGAATACCATTGCTATTAAATCCTTGTCAGATATTTTCTCCCATTCTGTGAGTTGTTTCTTCACTCTTCTGATTATTTCCTGTGCTGGGCAGAAGATTTTTAATTTGATTTAAACCCATTTTTGCTTTTGTTGCCTGTGCTTTTGAGGTTTCGTTCAAGAACTTTTTGCCCATATTAATGTCCTGAAGAGTTTTCCATATGTTTTCTTTTTTTTGGAGAGATTTTCGCTATAGGGTGCGTGCGCTCGCCAGACAGACAGAGAGAGACGGAGAGACAGAAAGCGAGAAATCACCCCCCAGGGGGGATGGTCATGCCGCAATCCCTTCTCCTCCATTCTCCTCTCGGGATCTTGGGCATGCACGCACACGCGCCCGGCATGAGTTTTAAGCCACCAGGTCCGGGACGCGAACCGCGGTCGACTACGTGGGAATCCAGTGACATAGCCATTATGCTAACTGCTGGTTCCCCATGTATTTTCTTCTAGCAGCTTTATCATTTCATATTTCATGTTGTAGTCTCCAACCCATTTGGAATTCTATATAGTGGGAGATTTAGATCTAATTTCATTCTTCTGCATATGGATATCTGGTTTTCTCAGAACCATTTATTGAAAAGGCTGTCTCTTTCTCAATGAATATTCTTGGCACCATTGTTGAAAATCAGTTGGTTGTATATACAGAGATTTATTTCTGGGGTCTCTCTTCTGTTCCATTAGTCTGTGTTTGTGCTTTTTTGCCAATACAGTGCTGTTTTTGTTACTATAGTTTTATAGTATATTTTGAAATCTGGTAGTATGTCTCCAGCTCTATTCTTTTTGCTCAGGACTGCTTTGGCTATTCGTGCCTCTCATGATTCTATGCAAATTTTATGACTCTTTTTTCTATTTCTATAGAGAATATCATTGATATTTTAACAGGATTGTATTGACTCTAGATCACTTTGAGTAGTATAAACATTTTGACACCAATACTTCCAGTTCATGAACATGTGATATCTCTCCAACTTTTTCTGTCTTCTTTATCTTTTTTCGTCAGTGATTTAAATTTTTCACTGGAAAGATTTTTCAATCTCCTTGGTTAAACTTATTCCTAGGCATTTTATTTTCTTTGTAATTATTGTAAATGGGATTGCTTTATTAAATTTAATTTTTAGCTATTTCATTATTGGTATATTTTCATGTGTTGATTTTATATCCTACAACTTTACTGAATTAGTTTATTAGTTCCAAGAGTATTTGTTGTATAATCTTTAGGATTTTCTAGATATAAGATTATATCATCTGTAAACAGAAATAATTTGACCTCCTCCTTTCCAATTTGGATCCCCTTTATTTCTTTCCCTTGCCTAATTGCTCTAGCTAGGACTTAAAGTATTATATTGGATAAGAGTGATGAAATGGGCATCTTTGGGAGCAGCAGATGGTATAATGGTTATGTTGCTGGACTCCCATGTGGTTGACCATGGTTCGAGTCCCAGACCCAGTGACTTAAAACTCATACCAAGAGCATGTGTGTGCATGCCCAAAATCCTAAGAAGAGAATGAGAAGAAATTGAAGTGTAGCCATCTCCCCCCAAGGGAGGGTGATTTCCCACTTTCTGTCTGACTCTCTCTGTGTATTCAGTGAGGGCACGCACCCAATAGCAAAAATATCTCTCTAAAAAAAAAAAAAAAATGGGCATCTTTGTCTTAGTTCTTAAAGAAAAAGCTGAAAGCTTTTAGTATATTATTTGTATAAACTGAGAAATCTGATAAAAAGACTAGGGGAATAAAAGTTACAGTTTTAGATTTAAAAATAGTAACTTTTTATCTTCAATAGGGAAGGCATAGGGAATTTATATTCAGACATATGGAGCCAGCAGATGGCATGGAAGTTAAGATAACTGATCCCACATGGCTGACTACACAGTTCAAGTCCAGACCTAGCAGCTTGGAAAACACACCAGCGCATGTACATGTATGTCCAAAATCCTTAGCGGAGAATACAGGAGAAGGGATTTTGGTGTGGCATTATTCACTGGGGGAATGCTTTCTCATCTCTCTCTCTCTCACACACACATATTAACCTTTTGCCTTTGGGCAAAAGGATACAGTCTGTGTGTGTGTATGTGTATTCAGACATATGTTCAAGAAAAAAGGGATGATCTAAGTTGATATTTTACCTGAGAAGCATATGGACAAACATTATTCTTTTTTTTTTTTTTGAGAGGTTTTTGCTATAGGGCGCGTGCGCTCGCCAGGCAGACAGAGACAGAGAGACAGAAAGCGAGAAATCACCCCCAGGGGGGATGGCCACGTTGCAATCCCTTCTCCTTTGTTCTCCTCTCAGGATCTTGGGCACGCACACACACGTGCCCAGCATGAGTTTTAAGCCACCGGGTCCGGGATGCGAACCGCAGTCAGCTACATGGGAGTCCAACGACATAGCCATTACGCTAGCTGCTGGTCCCGACAAACATTATTCTTGATCTGTGCTCTTTTATCCCCGGCAGGGCAATAATGGCTCAGGCCTGTGTGTTAGGGACCCACCAGTTTGGTGGGAATAGAAACCAGTAATGGTGTTAGGAAGACAGTTTGATCAGAGGACCCAAAGATAAGACAGAAAACAATAGGTAGAATGGATTAGTCTTACCCACACCAGACAGCCCCTGTCTGTCCTTTGGCTCCAGGCAACAACTCAGATGTGTAGTCCTCAGACAGCAAGGAGAATTCACACTCTAAATATTAAACAGAATTAATAAGATTACACACACACACACACACACACATTAATATATATCTCTAAAAACTATATCTATCTGAGAGAGAATTGGCTTGCACACTGTGAGAGCTGTCAAGTTTGAAATCTCCAGGGCAGGCCAGCTGGCTGGAGATTCTGGCAGCAGTTAATGTTGCATCCTCGGGTATGAAGACAGTCTGGAAGCAGAATTGCTCCGTTAGGAAACTTCAGTCTTTTCCCTTAAGGCCTTCAGCTAATTGGAAGAAGGCTACCCACATTTGGGAGGAGGAATAATCTGCTTTACTCAAAGCCTGGTGATCTAAATGTTAATCATATCTTTAAAAATACCTTCACAGAAACATTTAAACTGATATTTGACCAAAAACTAAGTACCATAGCCTAGCAAGCTGATGCATAAAATTAACCATCACACGTTCTAGAAGACATGATTTGGAAAGCAAATTACTAGTTACTGATAATTCACTTAGTAGGAATAAAAGACGAGCCATATACACCCAAGGAAGAATACAGAATACTCATTTTGTTAGAAAATGCACAGCCTCTATAATAATTTAAGACATGCAATATAAATAATATCACAGAAACATCCTTATTAAATAATAAAAATTGAACACCCACACACACAACCTAGTGTTAGAGGGTCTGTGTGGAAACTGAAACTCATAATGGGAAGGACTCTGTCAGGAGACTGACCCTTTCAGTTATCATCTATAGCCAGAAAGACTAGAGCTATAAGGTTCTTGATCTCACATCTCAAAGATGCCACTGCCCTCTGGGATAGACCTGAAAGGTCTGGAAACTACCTCACAGCCTAGACCTTTATTTCATAGCTGAGGAAACAGACCTATGGGGAAGAAATTTGCTGCATCTCCTACTAGTCAGAAAAACTAGGGTCCAAGGCAGCATGCTGGCCTCCTAACCAGGCTATTGCCTCAAAAAATTACACAAAAGAGTTTCATTTTAAAATGGAATTTAAAATAGAATTCCATTTTAAAATAGAATTTTCACCCTTGGTGAACACTGGAATTGCTGAGGAGGCTTGAAAACTGTTGATGGCTAGGTCCCATTCTCTGAGGTTGTGATTTAATTGGTCCGGGGGTGTGGCTGGGAATTGTTAAGCTCCTCAAGTGATTACAATGTGCAATCAGGATGAAAGGGGGATGATCTCATGCTATCATGTTCAATATCCTGAGCAGTAACTAATTCTTTTTGCTCTTTCAATTTGAAGACCATTTCCTGATGGAAAATATAAAGTAAAATGGGATAAGGCAGAATCTCAGCCTTATTTTAATTGTTAACATGACTCCATCTTCTCTAAGCAGTATATTTCCTTCTACTGACTGTCAAAGCTCAGAATACAGCTTTAAAGGATTGTGCTTCTCTTCAGCATATCTCTTGATATTATTCTCTTGCCTCATTTAGGCCTAGGCCTCCTACACATATTTCTTTAGGGTCCATTCAACTCTAGGATACACTCTTGGGTTTTTGCTTCTCCCTTCATATTTATTTTACATGTTTTTGAAAAATCAGCTCTGCACACCACCAAGGGCTTACAGACATGTATAAGATAGAATTTCTCCTCTATGGAGTTCACATGAGGTAAGTGGGACAGTCAGGAAGGCCACTGCAACAGGGATGACACACACCCCAATTCAAGCATGTAAAGAAAAGCAGCATTAAATTTAGTGGGAAGGAAAAAAAGCCCAGGAATGCTTCCAGGAGGGGGCAGTACTTGACCTGGGAATGCAGAGTTGTCTAAGTAAGCATGGGTATAGAGAATTGTGGAAAGGTATTCTAGGCAAATGGGATGTAAGAAAAAAGCACAGAGATGTAACTGGCAAATGCTAGAAGTCAGAGATGGAAGGTTGCTGAGGCTGGGGAGGTGAGCAGGAGGAGACTTATTATGGGTTTATATATGCCCAACTTCTACAGATTTTACTTTAAGGGTAATGGGTTTTAAGAGGAAAGTGTCCCGACTGTGATTTTCAGGCCATGATATCAGTGTGATGGTTGAAGTAGAGAAGGATGAGACCAGAGGGAGGGGAGTCTGCTGCCTTCCATGTGAGAAATAGTCATGCATATGACAGGAGGAGTGGGAATGGAGAGACAGTCTTGAGGAGGGGATTCAACCAGGACTGGAGATCTCATTGGTATGGGCAGGCTCCAGCTGGTCTATTCATGGTCTTTGTGCAACCAGAAAAAGGCACCCCTGTGAGCAGATACACCTCTATGCAGTGGAACAAGGGCTGGATATGCCCACCTGTGCTGGGTAGCTGGATGAGGGAGGGAGAGAGAGGAGTTAAGGACAACATCTTGGTGTGTTAGACAAGAGAAAAGGATTTCTTCCCTTTGCTATTACAAATGTCAAAAAAGCAAGATACTTTTTATTATCCAATTCTTGCTTCCTTGACAAAATTACATTCTCTCTATTCAGAGATCAAATACTCAGTAAAGGCAAGGATAACTTATCAGGTTCTTTGATTTTAGCTGAATGAGTCTTCTGTGAATCTTCCTTATCACAGTTCCCATCTCCGCTCTGTCTAACCTTGGAGAGAGTTCTGATACCTGTTTGGGGAAAACATTATCCATACACAGGCTGACTAGATATAGAACAAGTAGACATTAAGAAATTTCATGGGCTGGCCTCTTAATACAGTGGTTAAGTGCTATGCAGAGGAAGTCAGATCCCATATGGCTGGATCGTGTGAGTCCTGCCCCTGGCAACTTACATGGGACAGAGAACTGAAGGAAAAGGATTTTGGTATAACCAGGATGTGTTGTTTCTCTCTCTTTTACATATATGCACTCTCTAGCATAATAAAAGGAAAAAGAAAATGGGAGGGGGAGGAGCCAGTGGTGCATTAAAGTGGCTGAATCCCAAATAGCCAATTGCATGATTCAAGTGCTGGACCCAGTGGCTTGAGAAACATACTAGGTGCATGTGCATGCATGCCCAAAATCCCAAAAGGAGAAATTGAGAAGGGACTGTAGCATGACCACCCCCCATGGGGGGTGATTTCTCACTTTCTCTCTCTTGCTCTCGCTCTTGCTCTCACTTTCCCTCTTGCAAGTACATGCACACTCTAGAAAATTAAAAGAAAACATTCTTTAAAAAAAAAAAAAAGAAGTTTTACAAGTCAGAACTTTGTATTCTATCCAAAATGAAAATAGATGCTCAAAAAAATACATACTGTTCTGTCCAAAAAGCTGACTTAAACGTCATCCCATATTATCTTAACTTGGGACATGTCGACCCTGTCTTCATAACCTCCTGGGCTCACTCATTAAATTTATTTGGCACCAATTTTGTGTAAGGCCCATTCTAGTTTCTACATGAGGGGAAAGATAAGCTCAGACCTTCACATCTAGCCCAAATTCCTGGCAGTAGGAAGCAAATCTCCCAACAAAGACATTGTGGTCAACCGTGTTTCCAACCTTTAGAGCTAGATCCCTGGGTCTGATGCCTGGCTTCTTCATATTTGCCTTTTTTTTTTTTAAAGACAAAGTCTCAACTATGGTCCCCAGGTTGGCTTTAAATTTGCCATCCTCCTGTCTCTATCTCCTAGTGTAGCTAGGACTATGGACACGCAAAAAGCAAGCTTGGCTTTGGAGTTCTCACTTTTCTTCTTCTTTTTTTTTTTTTTGGAGAGGTTTTCGCTATGGGGGTGTGCACTCGCCAGACAGAGAGAGACATAGAAGCAGAAAGCGAGAAATCACCCCCCAGGGGGAATGGTCACGCCGCAATCCCTTCTCCTCCATTCTCCTCTCGGGATCTTGGGCACGCACGCACACGCACCCGGCATGAGTTCTAAGCCACCAGGTCCAGGACACGAACCGCGGTCGACTACGTGGGAGTCCAGCGACATAGCCATTACGCTAACTGCTGGTTTCCTGGAGTTCTCACTTTGAAAAGTACTGAGGGATCAGCAGATGGCATAATGGTTATGTCACTGGACTCCCACATAGTTGACCACAATTTGAGTCCCAGACCTGGTGGCTTAAACCACACCAGGCACATGTGCGTGCGTGCCCAAAATCCCGAGAGGAGAATGGAGAAGGGACTGTGGTGTAGCCATCCTCCCTGGGGGGATAATTTCTTGCCTTCTGTCTCTCTCTCTGTCTCTGTCTATCAGGTGATCACATGCACCCTATAGAAAAAAAACTCTTTCTAAAAAATAAAATAAAAGTATTGAAACCCACTGGGTCTTAGTTTTTTCACATTTAAGATAGGGATAATGGTAAAGCCTGTTTTATAGGGTTGTTGTGAGGAATAAACTGAGTTAGTGCATGTAATTGAGTCACACAATACTCAGCAGATATTAAGTACTCAAGCATTATTAGTTATTCCTATTATTTGTTTTGTGTAATACTTCTTTTCAAGACTAGGAATCATACCTCCAGTTGGTAATAAGATGCCAATGACATCAAAAATATTCCATGATATATTGTACACTAAGTTTAAAAGAAAGTTACAAGCAGCAAGATCTTTCTCCCTCAGAGGACTGTAAGAATATGTAGCAAGGATCTTCAAAACATCCATGTAAAGTGTGTATCATGAAAAAATTATGCATAGATTTAAAATTTTTTTGCACAGAAATAAACTCACATTCTCATTCCACTTTTCCAGACTTTTTGAAGTCATATGAATGGCAGAGATTATTTCAGAGTTGTTTTATGCTCTCCTTTATGTTAAAAAGATAAAGTTTTTATTTGCCAGAGGGCATACTCACCAGAGAGAGGCAGGGGTGGGGGCTGTATGAGAAAGCACTTTCCCAGGGGTGATGGCCAGGCCACAATCCCTTCTCCATTTCTCCTTTGGGGATTTTGGGCACACATGCACACATGCCTAGATGCCCAATCTGCTAGGTCTGGGACTTGAACCACTCAGTCAACCATGTGGGATCCAGCCACCTGAGGCCTCATATCACCTACTATGTCGATTTTGTTTTGTTTGTTTTTAAAGTTTTTGTTTTTGTC